GGCCCCCGCTGGCATCTCCAAAAACTCGCGTCGGTGCACGTTCAGATCCTGCTGGTAAACAATCCGCTGTGAAACCATGACTGAGCCCTTCCACCTGCCAATCATCTGCAAACTGTGGGGACGGTGTGTCAGTCCACGCCAGCGGGATGAGGCCTCGATACCTATAACATGGTTGAGACTCACCTTGACTAGATGCACGAGGGATCATGAAATCGCTCTTGTCATACACAGGGTTGTCTTTGTTAGAGCAACATAACCATGATCTGTGCAAAGAAGTCTCTTCATGCTCCTTACACCTGTCACAAATACCATTCAAGCTCGGGTCCTGGACCGACTGCAAGGGTTTCAACTCAGCCTTCTTCCTTGCTTTGGTCCAGGCTCCTCCGATAGCAATGTTGAGCAACAATCCAGCCAACCGCCTCCCTTTTCCAGGGATACTATTGAGTTGTTTGAGCAATCTGCGATATGAATAGCTGTCGGTTCCATCTTGAAGTCCTTCACCCTCGTGATGTTTGCAAGCGCTGATCCAGAATGGTTCCATCGCCGCCGCACGAAGATCAACATAGAATTCCTTGAAACTAGCCTCATCTATCGCCTCAACGCCCGTGAAGTTCTCGTCGGGGAATTCCCATGCTGTCATGCCTGGGGGGTCCCACGCTGTCGGTGAGCGAGGAATCCAACCAATCCCTAATAGATGACACAGCACTGCAGAAAGAGGTCCTCGTATATACCTTGATCTCTGCGCTTGAGGTATAGCTTCCAATTTCTGGCGAAGACGAGGCCATGATCGAATGATGCCCGCTCGGGACTCGGGCCGTGTACGCCAGTTGTGCAGCCACAGCGCGAAGGTACCTTGAATGAAACGTGCTGCGGGGTCTTGGCCGTGAGCTTCCAACTCGAGAAGTGTCGTGAGACACCGTCCCCTGCCCCGCGCATTACAAGCAGCGCCCAGTCGACGTCGATATCGAGTGAGCTCCTGTCCACATACTCCGAAGATCTCATATCCATAACTACCTGCAGCTTGGGCGCCTTGGCGCTCCAGTCGAGAAGTAATCGCTGTCCTACGAATAACCTTCTTGTACTTGACCACCTTCCTGTGACGATTGAGGCGCCGTGCAGCACGCTTCCGTCGTTCAGCTCGAGAATGCCTAACTCCTGCTCCCAGGTCGACGCCCAGGTAGCTGGTAGATCTGGCCGCCGTCATTGTGATCCCCCGAAGTCTCAAGGTTCGAACCACATCCCTGGCCAGACTCAACTTGGTGCAGACCACTGTCGACTTAGATGCCACCTTGAGACCCTGACTGTGGAGGCCTCTGGCGGTCGCAGCCACGCACTGAACTAAATCCTTCTTGACCTGGGACTCCGACCCCATCGTGGTCTGCGAGATATCGTCTATCCAGAGTCGGTGCGAGCACCGAACTTGCGATGTGGTGATCACCTCCATGATGAAAAATGTCATCGCTCTGGCCAGTCTAGTACCAGCTCGCAAGCCTTGAATGATACTACATGTCGGCTCGAACGCCATCGAAAAGGAACCAATCTGATTGAGTGTGCGCGGATGGGCGCATTGTAATAGCTCCATGTACAAGATCGTGGGTGGGAAGCCCAGTCTGAGGGCCGCTCTGGAAAGCTTGAGCCATAGCATATTATCGTAGTAGCCGTCAATGTCGGTGAGGGCGTGTCCATACGATACATTGAGGATACCCGCGACCTCCTCATCCAAGGCTCTCCTGAAAGCCTCCCTCAAGGACGAGTTCCCACGGACCGCTGCGTCCCACGAAGGCTCAGTCCGACTGGACCACGCCTTGGACCAGGGCTCCCTGGACATACTCCATACCCTGGATAACATCGTGATGAGCCCGATCACCCTGTCTCCCGAAATCTTTTTGGGTAGAAGTCGACCGATGACTATCATTGTCTGCACTGGCCAGGCGAGGAACTCCTCGGCTGTGTTGAATAGGGTAGCTAATTCAGCAACTCCTGCATCTGGGAGTCGCTCGATATCACATGGTGTGAGTTGGTCCGCTCCAAGACCAGCACGAGGTTTCATGGCTCTGAGAGCCTTGCGAACTTCAGGGACACCCAATTCTGGAAGAGGATCGGGATCATCTCTGACTGCCTGCCTAACAATACCCAAGACGTGGATGATGGACTCGTGAGGCTCGGATAACTTCGGGGCCCATTTACGTTTCCAAGTAGACGTCTTGTGATCCACAATATCTTTAGGATGATGTAGTATATTGGTACCATCGAAGACCTCCAAAGTGGGGACGGGGTCCTGACGCATGGCCCTGTGGAGAGCACCCAGAGAGTTCCCCGTGATGGCCCAGTCCTGGAATTCACGAAGAGAGGCATGGAGGGCTCTCCTTTGACTGGCACGCATGACTTTAGCCGAGTACTGGGAAAACAAAGCAAGGTGCATGATCGAACACTTGTCGACGGACGCGAGAATGTTTAGCCATTCAGACCAGGGTGGAACCAAGCACGCACTGACACAAGTGTGGACCTGATCGGGCCGATCTTCAAGGAGGCGTCGACATTCTCGCTCCAGACGTGCTCGCTGCGACACACCGTTGTTCCTTGAGCGATGCTTATGCAAGGAATCTAAAATAGTGTGCAGTCTCGTCCACCAGCCTGCCGCTTGATCTCGCAGTGGTGTCGATCTGCATCTGTTCGAAACTCGCACCTGCTGCAATTCAAAAGTCGGCACCTGAGCTCTCAGTGCTCCCTGGTTGGCTTCGCATCCATGGTGAGCTCGAATGGTGTTCTCAACTGTGGTCACCCAAGAGGCATACATCCCACTAATCATCAGGGTCTTTCCAGGGTAGGAGGAGGAGGAGGAGGATGAGGATGAGGATGAGGAGGAGGACCTCGGAGGAGGAGGAGGTGGAGGGGCAGGAGGAAGGAGGAGCAGGAGGAGGAGGCGAACGCCCAGAGAGCGCGGGCCGCGGCCAAGACCGCGGGCGGGCGCGGCTGCCGTGGGCCGAGCGGCCGTCCCTGTCTGGGGGCTTATATCGCCCACCTGTCGGCGACGTGTCCACTATTCTAGAGCATCCGGCAGAGGAGGATGAGGAGGAGGAGGAGGAGGCGGAGGAGAAGGAGGAGGAGGAGCGGGAGGGGGAGGAGGGCGAGGAGGAGGAGGAGGAGGGGCAGGGGGAGCTCCTCCTCCTCCTCCTCTTCCTCCTCCTCCTCCTCTCCTCTTCCTCCTCCTCTCCCTGAGCCCCCCCCCCCCCGCGTCTCTTCGCCCCTTTCGCCTGGGCAAGCGGCCCGCCTCAAGGGCTCCCAGGGGTCACGACGGCGGCGGCGACGGCCACGCCAGCGGCGACGGCGCCTGCTCCCCGCCCAGCCCCGGCGAAAGCCAACCCCGTCGAAAGCCAACCCCGGCGAAAGCCAACCCCAGCGAAAGCCAACCCCGGCGAAAGCCAACCCGGCGAAAGCCAACCCTCGGCGAAAGCCAATCCCGGCGAAAGCCAACCCCGGCGAAAGCCAACCCCTGGAGAAAGCAAACCCCGGCGAAAGCAAACCCCGGCGAAACAAAGCCCGGCGAAACGAAGCCCCGCGAAACGATACCCAGCGAAAGCCAACCCCGGCGAAAAGCATCGAAAGCCAACCAACCCCGGGGGGGGGGTCACTACCGGTTCGAACCCCCCCCTGGCACGGATGCTTTCGCCGGTTTTCGAGGGGGGATGGGGGGGGGGTCGAACCAGTAGTGCCCCCCATCCAAGTTTTCACGATGGATTGGGGGGGGAGGGGTTCGAAGCTGCAGTGACCCCCCCCCGGTTTTCGACGGGGTGGGGGGGGGTCGGGTTGGGAACCCCCAGTGACCCCCCTGGTTTTCCGCCAGCAGCGGTAGAACACGCTCTTTCACATACAGGCATGCATACATACAGACAAACAGACAGACAGACAGACAAACAGGCAGGCACAGAGGGATACAAGCAAACTTACCTGCTGCCAATGTAGCAACAGACACACATGCATACAAGCAAACACAATCATGCATACATGTATACACATACAGATATACATACGGCAAGTTCGTGTCGTGACGACCCCGGAGTTGGTTTTTGACACCGCGTGGATCGTTCAACCTTGAACGATCGGCGGCTTTTCGCTCGCCCGATCATTCCATATAGGCCGATTCTGGGCCACTGGCGGCGTTCAACCTTGAACGCCTGCGGCGGAGTCGCCGATGGTCGACACGACGCAAACCTACCGTAGACATGTCAGCTCGCCTGCTGTACCAGTCGCATTTTTTCCCGAGCCGAAGCGCGCGGGGAGAGGGCAGTGTGGGTCTCGGGGTGGGTCGTGGTCGGGCGTCGCGGACCAGGGCCGGCGCTGCCCCGCGCAGAGCAATGCATGGTCTCTCTCTGATTCGTGTCTGACAAGCTCTAGGACAGTTTGGGTGGAGAATCCCGCTCCGTTGTTGCACCCTCTGGGTTCCATGAGCTCGAAGCGAATCGAATCCTCCGCGTCATCACGATCAGCACAATCGGCCTCCTTCTCAGTCATCCTTCCTCCCTCATCCACCCTCCCCCTCGTGGTCATCGTCGTCAACGGACTCCTCCAGCTCCTCCTCCTCCTCCTCCTCCTCCTTCTCCTCCACCTCCTTTCTTTCCTCCTCCTCCTGCTCCTCCTCCTAATGCTCCTGCTTCTACTGCTGCTCCTCCTCCTCCTGCTCCTCCTGCTCCTCCTTCTCCTCCTCCTCCTCCTCCTCCTCCTGATGCTCTTGCTTCTTCTTCTTCTTCACATCCTCATGCTCCTCCTCATGCTCCTCCTCATCCTCATCTTCCTCCGCCATCTTCATCCTCCTCCGTCCTCATCCTCCCTCCTCCTCCTCCTCCTCCTCCTCCTCCTCCTCCTCCTCCTCCTCCTCCTCCTCCTCCCCTCCTCTCACCCGCCTTCGCCTATGCGTCCTCGTCCATTCCCCCATCCTTCGTCCTGCGACCACTCCTCCCGCTCCCCCCTCTGCACACCCGGCTTTTTTCTTCAACGCCACGTCACCGCCCTCGCCGAGCTCTCCGAGAATCGGGTGCCAAAGGAGAGCTCGAGTCGAAGAAGACGCGGTGGCACACCGCCACGCTGCGCAGCAGCGTGAGGACGTTCAGGCACCACCATATGCTCCGCGCCGAGCGGCCGAGCAAACACATCGATACCACGGATGCAGACGCCGCCGCAGACACGCACCCGGCAAGCCACACGTAGTCTCCGAGCCCATACAGGGTCCCGTCCAGGATCCAGAGCACGCCATACTGCAGCAGCATCGTGGCCGCGGGCATGGCGAGCTCCCCAAACTCGGCGGCGACGGACGGATCGCCCGTGAGCAGAGCGGCGATTCCCGCCCTGCTAGGGCTGAACTGGATCGAACCGCGAAATCGGATCGAACCGGAAAGATATCAGATCGCCAACGAATCGTCCCTAATCGAATCGACCGCGCCCCACTCCAGCTGGCCCTGGCCGATGACGGCGAATACGCCCGAAATCAGCCGGCCCCCTTGTGGGGCCACCAGGCTGTAGGCGCGGGATTCGCAGTTTCCTGTGCCAGTTGTAGCTTGTAGTTTCCAGTGTTACAATTCTGCTTATTGCTGGTTACTGTAACTAGTTGATTGACCGCGCGAGGGAGGGGAGGCCCAAACCGGCATTTTAGCACCCCCTGGGCGCGTTGTCGGAATTGCTGGGGGGGCTCGAAATCGACACCCCTCACACAGATCGGCGGGGTCAGGGTCCAAAAACACAAGGGATTTGCCACATTTCTGAAATTCGGTGCCACCCCTCACGCAGATCCGCGGGGTCAGGGTCCAAAAACACACGGGATTTGCCACATTTCTGAAATTCGGTGCCACCCCTCACGCAGATCCGCGGGGTCAGGGTCCAAAAACACAGGGATTTGCCACATTTCTGAAATTCGGTGCCACCCCTCACGCAGATCCGCGGGGTCAGGGTCCAAAAACACAGGGGATTTGCCACATTTCTGAAATTCGGTGCCACCCCTCACGCAGATCCGCGGGGTCAGGGTCCAAAAACACAGGGATTTGCCACATTTCTGAAATTCGGTGCCACCCCTCACGCAGATCCGCGGGGTCAGGGTCCAAAAACACAAGGGATTTGCCACATTTCTGAAATTCGGTGCCACCCCTCACGCAGATCCGCGGGGTCAGGGTCCAAAAACAAAAGGGATTTGCCACATTTCTGAAATTCGGTGCCACCCCTCACGCAGATCCGCGGGTCAGGGTTCAAAAACAAACGGGATTTGCCACATTTCTGAAATTCGGTGCCACCCCTCACGCAGATCCGCGGGGTCAGGGTCCAAAAACACAAGGGATTTGCCACATTTCTGAAATTCGGTGCCACCCCTCACGCAGATCCGCGGGGTCAGGGTCCAAAAACACAGGGGATTTGCCACATTTCTGAAATTCGGTGCCACCCTTCACGCACATCCATCGCAAGGCGTGGTAACCCAAACTGCGAGAACTCCCTCGGCCCTTTAATCGCAAGGTGTGGTAACCAAGCCCGTAAACCATACACGTCTTACCAATCGCCAGGTGTGGTAACCCCTCTTGTGATCAGTTGGTTTTGCTGATTGCGAATCGGCTTCGCATGAAGTTTCGATACTGCTTCACGACAGCGCCAAGGCCTCATGACTTAGCTCTTCCATGGCCCATTCTCCGAGAGAGGGGGCCGGCGGCAGGGGGCGAAGCCCTTACGGATAAATACGCAACACCATGAGCACGATGCCCAACAGCAAATGTTGTCCAAAACCGACAGCGGCCGCTGTTGGGCAGGCGGCCTTCTGCCTCAAATGGACAACGCCCGCGGCGACGCCGACAGCGAGTCCTGCTCAGAATGAGCAGAACATGCTGTCGGTCGTTGTACCCATCTGTCCATTCCCCTTTCGACAGGCTGCAAGCAAGAGTGACCGAAGGGGCCCTGGGACACACACACACACACACACACAAAAATTAATAGACAAAAAAACAGGATACCAACATTGTCCCATATTTCCTGGGTTTCTGTCTTCCCCCCGCACTTCCCATATTTTCCCATATTCTCCTGGGAGTACACGATGAATTATGTCTGTGTGTTTTTTTCCTCTCCTGAGTGACTCTGGGCAGAAATGACCTTCGGCGCGCCGCCTGCGGGGGTCCGCGGGGGGTGACCAAGCCCGGGTGTGCAAGCGCCGCTGCCACATCGCATCCCGCTCGGCCCATCTGGGACAGCCCAGCTTTGAAGGGGCCCAAGGACACACAAATAAATCCACACAAACAACAGGATTCCCCAAGAGCCCCCCAAGAGGCCCCAGGGGAGCCCAAGACGCCGCCAAGGAGCCCCAGGACGCTCCCAAGAAGCCCCCAAGAGGCCCCCAAGACGGCCGCAAGAGGCCCCAAATAGCGCTCCAGGGCTGGCGGAATGAGCGAAGCGATTCAATAAATCCACAAATAACAGGATTCCCCATATTGCCCCATATTTCCTGGGTTGCTGTCTTCCCCCCCACTTCCCATGGTTTCCCCTATGTTCTGGGGAATCCGATTCACTGTGTCTGTGTGTTTTTTTCTCCCTCCTGAAGCTTGCCCGCACAAAGAGGTCACCCTGGCGAAAGCTCACTCCTGCACGTTGCCGATCCCAGACATGCGACGTCCTGAGTTTTTCAGGACGGCGTCCCTGGAATCGGGAGCCCCTAGTCATCCCCCCCCCCCTAGTCATCACCCCCCTCCTAGTCATCACCCCCTCCTCATGATATCCACCCCCCCCTAGTCATCACCCCCCTCTTTGCCGTCCCCGATTGAAGTCTCGACCCTTTCCCCAGGGCCGGTTTCTCATCCTGAGTCGTTTTGTGACGCTCCCGAGGCCCGGCGGGGGCCCCCCGAGGCCGAACATGGCCAAAAACCTCTCTCGTCCTGCTTTGTTTCTAAGGCGCGATCATGTCTGGGATTCCATCTTGCCGATCGAATCGGAATCGCGGCCCTGGCCGGCGAATCACATCGCATGGAATCAGATGGGAGGCGGCGCCGCCTGCCCCACCACATCGTCGCCGCAGCGGCCAGCCCCGCGGCCACGCTGAAGCGCAGCGTCCGCCAGACCACCCACCGCGCATGCCGCGGGGCCCCCCGGGCGACGTCGGCGCTCACCAGCACCTGTAAAGGGTCCGAGGGAGGCGCAAATACATCGACACACATCCCAGGATTTCCAAGATTTTCCCTCATTTCCTGGACGCTCCTCTTCCCTCCATAACCCGCATGTTCCAGGATGCGCTCGTGGAAATCTGCGTTCCTCTGCATTCATGTACATTTTGTCGTCCTGCACCTGCGCGGACAGCTGGAGGCCGTACATCAGGTTCAGGAGGATCGGGTCGGACGAAAGGATTGGGTTAGGACAGCCCTGAGAGGGGACGACTCGCATGTCACAAGATCGCGGGCTCGGCACCCGTCGAAGAGGACTTTCTCTTGGCATGAGGCACGGAATGGGGAGCCCTGCAAGAGCCGACGACATGGCAGCCGATGGGGGGGACGAATGCCTCGTTTCGCACAACCGGCTTCCCCTGGCGCCAGAGGCGCTCGTGCATCGAGGAACGCGCCTGGCGGAGGAACCGCCACCAGTTGTGCGCTGCAGACCTCGCAATCTGAAGTCGGGCCTACAGGTCGATGTTGGCCAACAATCCCACCAGCCCTCTGGGCGTAGGTGGTCTAGAACAGATCCTCTTCCACCCCTCCCTCTTCCCCCTTGGGGAGGGGTTTACCCCTCCCCCTACCCCCTCCCCTGGACCTGGACGGGGGGGGCCGCGGGTAGTTAGAGCGTCCCAGATGGCCCAAGACGGCTCCAAGAGCGCCTCAGAGAACCCAAGATGAGCTCCAAGATGGCTCAAGATAGCGCAAGATCGCTCGAGATGGCTCCTAAGATGGTTCCAAGAAGCCCAAAGACGGCCCCAAGATAACTCCAAGTGGCCAAACAGCTCCCCAAGGAGGCCCCGAAGAGGCCAAAATCGTCCCAAAACCTAAGGAAAATCAATGATTTTTGCTTTCTCGCCTTTTCGCTTCCGATGGCCATCCGAGGCCTGGAGATGGTTCCAAGATGGCCCAAGAGGGCCCCAAGAGAGCCCCAAAAGAGCCCCAAGACGGCCCCAAGAGCGCCCAAGAGCACTCCAAGAGCGTTCCAAGAGGGGTCCAAGAGGCGATTTTAGGGGCTTCCGAGGGGGGGCGCTAATTAAACCCCCCCTCTTGTTTGATCGATCTCCTCCAAGATGGCCCCAAGAAGCGCCCAGGAAGCCCCAAGAGGTCCCAAGATGGCCCCAAAATGGCCCCAAGAGGCCCCCAAGAGGCCCCCCGGAGGCCCCCAAGAGACCCCCAAGAGGCCCCAAGAGCCCCCCCAGATGCACCCAAGATGCTCCAAGAGGCCTCGGCGAGAATGCCTAATCATTGATTCTACACAGGTTTTAGCCACATGGAGGCCTCTTGGGGGGGGGCACGGATTAAGATGACTCCAAGAGCGTCTGGGAGAGCCCAAAATGACCTCCAAGATGGCTCAAGATATCCCAAGATGTCTCATAATGGCTTCCTCTGTGTGCTGCCCACTTCTCTGATCGAGGCAATTCCTCTGGGCATCGTTTCTGGATGGGCTGGTGGGGATTCGCGAAGCGACAACAATTTTTTACTAATACATTTAAAATTCTCAAACATGGTCGAAACATAGTCCCCAGACTATGTTTCCACTATCTTTGAATATCCCCCCTGTAGAGGGACATGCCCGACTTCATCGTAATCCCCCCACGCCCCCAGAATGAGCGACGAAATGCAAGGGGTCTCACGCGAGATGGCACAGCGGCCTTACGCGGTGGCGTCCGCGGGCCGGCACGGCACGGCACGCCTTTCTTGGACACGAGGGCGCTTCTACTTGCGACCTTACGCGGGCAGCTTACGCGCCAACGTCAGCGAAGACTTGGAGGCCTGGAAATGGGCACCAACACCAAGACAGGGGGCTGCCTCCACAGGGGGGAGATGATCCTAGATTTCGGTGTTGGTGGTAATACTTCGGTCACCTTGGAAGCCAGAATGTTACCACCATCACCGAGATCGGGATCTTCTTCCCTCGGTGGAGGAACACCGCCGATATTGGTGTTGGTGTCAACCTCTAGGCCCTTCGGCCTGCGAAAGACGACCCCGCCTCGGACTTTCCGCGTCGCTCAAGTGTTCGAGCCAGCTCGATCTGTGAGGGTCCCGGGGCCCGAGATGGGGGAAGACGCCCGTTGTGAAAAAGCGCGACGCCAGGATCTCAGGGCCACCCCCAGGCCCCAAAAATGATTCTCGTCGGCCGGCTTCTGGGTCGTGCCTCCGGCCTCCGGCGGCCGCTCGGGGGGCGCTGCGGGCACCCGCCGGAGCGCTGTCTCGGCGAGGCGCCGCGCTGCTGGGAGGCAGCGGCCGCGGAGAAGCGACAGGAACGCCCCCCAGAGCATCGGACCTCGAACCCCCAAGTCTGGGAGCAAGTCGAGTGGAGACCCTGGCAGCTGGCCACGGCCTCCCAGGGCTCAACACGCACTGGGTCCAACACCGGCTTCCGAGCTGCGTCCAGCCGTGGCGACGAAGGGGCAGCCCGAAGGCCCACGAGGGAGGAGCAGGTACGAGTGAGAGTAAGAGCAAGAATGAGAGTAAGAGGACGAGGTCCAAACAACCGACACCACACCCGAAAAGCTTCAAACGAGGCCTTCGGCGTGGTACCAATCAACACGTGAGCCCCTTCTGTACTCTCTTGGCCTTCTCAGTCGCATTCTAGACTCTGGGCCATGAGACCTTATGAACTTGATCGAGGTATCCAGCTCTGGTCGGGGTGGCCCTCTCCCAGCTCGAGGTAGGAGGTAGGGAGGGAGTATTGAGCAGGGACCGACCGTCCTTGCATTCATATAGGCCTACCACAGAGTGTTCTTAGAACCCAGAATCTTCCAAGAACAAGAACAATGTTCTTAGAACAGAGAGCCGATGTGCTAAATCAAGACTGTCTCAACCAGACATGTTCCCAAGAACACGCCGTGCAAACCACACGAGGCTCTGAGAAGGTTCTTTGGGGAGCCTACAGGCAAGCCAGGGCTCTTCGCCACTGCTTGAAGGAGGGAGGGGACCCCCCCTCGCCCGACCTGAGCGGAGCAAGAACACCTTGGTGGCACACAGGTGTGCGGCCAGCTGCGCGGTGCCCGCGCGGTGCGCCACGAGGGCGCCCGCCGCCAGCCACGTGGTGATGGACGCGAACGTGCGCACCGTCAGCGCCGCGTTCGCGCGGAGCAGCGCCGACCACCCCCTCCAAGACGAGGCCAGGACGAGGATACATCCGGGTGAAGAAAAATCGAGAGTCTCTGAGATCCGGCGGCTCTGGAAGATGTACAGTGGAGGCCAGTCCACAAGAACCCTTCCACAAGAAGCTCAACCCTGAGACCCCAGGACGCCCATGGAGTCTCCGTGCGGGAGCGTCGCGCTCTCCACAGCGAAACCATCGAAACCCAAGAAACCAAGGGCACCCTGGAGGCAAGCAGAGTGCTTCTTGAAGCATGGGCCTCCCCTGTCTCGGCGGCGCCGCGACCTCCTCAGAGCGGCTCGGAACGCTCTGCGGGAGCGCTCCGAAGACGCTCGGGAACGGACTTGTCCTCGCCCTGGCCCCGCCCGACCCCCGCCGGGCGGCGCCGGGCGCGCGCCGTCGGCACCAGGCCCGGCCAGGCCCTGGGCTGCCCGAGTACGAGCATCGCGTAAGGTCGGGCATGTCCGCCTACAGGCGGCATTCTGACGAAGAGTGCGAAACAGACAGAAAGCGCTACAACAAAAATCAAACATAGACAGGAAATCCTCCCCAGAATGTCTCTTACTATTTTGCATGTTCCTCCTGTACAGGGACGAGCAGGTCTTGAGCATCGCGGCGCGCGGTGCGCGGTTACCTTCGCGCCCTCGCGCCGCCCCCTGGAGAGGAGCAGCTGTTTTCCCAGGCGTTCCAGCGCCACGGCTTCTTTCGAGACGCGGCCCCCCCCCCCCCCGACCTCTCGACCGCCTCCCTGGGAGCATTGGCGGAGCGCAGAGAGGGGGTAGGGGGGAGGGGGAAAGGCTTCTTAGAAGCACCCCTGCTTCTCAGAAGGCCCGGGCCTTCTCTGTAGATGTAGGGCCGGTCCCTTCTAAGAAGCAGCCTCCTCCAAAAAAGCCTCCCCCCCTCCCCCTACCCCTTTTTGCGCGCCGCCAAGATCAGCGTTTCATCCCGAGTCGTTTGTAGACGGTCCCGAGGTCCAGCGAGGGCCCAAAGAGGCCGAAAGCTATGAGACACCTCTGTCTCGATCTGTTCGAGACGCTGGGTGCCTGGGTCTGACCCATGCCGCGCGCCCCCGCGCGGTGGACCCATAGAGGACCAGGACTGCCGCGGCAGCCCGTTCCCCGGCCTGGCCCGCCACCGCACCGGCCCCTGGGCCCGGCGCGCGGCCGGCCCTGGCCTGGCGCCGACGTGCACGAGTCGAGCCCCTGACATGCGAGGACGATGTGCCTCTGCAAATCAGTAATTGAAAATACTAGTGATGTGTATTATGCTTAAATTACCTCATGTCATACTAACTTATATGGCACCCAAACAACACACACGCGTCTCCGTCCACGAAAACGCTAGTCAACGCGTTCTATATCCTATCTTCGCTACTGCCTGTGACCTACTTAGGTCCCTGAAGAAAGTGGCCAGGGCTGCAGAATTCGTGGATGTCAGCAGCCACGTGAAGCTTCGGCGGGGGTGCTCCATGCCCCAGCGCCGAGCGGACCCGCACGGGGGAGGCCTCGCAGGGGGTCGCAGAGCACGTCGGCACCAGGCCCAGCCAGGATCAGGACTGCCGTGGCAGCCCGCACCCTGGGACTCGCCGACATCGGCCACGCGCAGAAGCGGGGTCCAATCCAAGCGCGCAATCCGGTGCCGGGGAGACCCCTGTGGGCCCGCACCGGGCATCCCCGGCGAAGAAGGACCACCCTCACACGTAGCCGACAGCACGCGCAACAGTCCTGGGCCTGGCGAGCGGCTGGGCCGGGCCTGGCATCGGCGTGCACAGGTCAGGACGCTGACACCAAGAAGGAACTGGGGACACTAAAAGGTACCGCTGCCGCCACTCCCCAGACCTCTCCAGGGTGCCTTCTGACTAGAATCTCCAGGCGAACCCAACGGTGGCGACGAGGGTCTGCCAGGAGGCCCCAAAAAGGGGAATGCGCGGGAAGGGTAGCGGTATGGGTACCTCTTCCTCCCCTGAACAGCCGCATACACATGAACTTTCAGAGGCCCGCCGAAAGCTTATGTCCGTGCCGTCTTTTTCTCCTTCGAGCCACCAGGCAGACTTCGGGCTCCGGACGGCCTCGGGCCCTTCGATGGCCCTCAGGACGTGTGTTATTGCCAACGCTCGCTTGCCCCCCGAAGCCCTCCACCACGAGGCAGGGCGGGGCAGAGAGAGGGCCAGGACGGGCTTCGTGCTGTCGGTGGAGCTGCACGGGACAGATAAACATTGCGCTAAGATAGAAGAAAAAAGAACGGCATTAACATAACCTGCTGGCTAACCCCGCAGACCTCTTGAATCTGCGCTGGACGCCCCTCCCTGGCGCGCGGAGCGCGCCAGGGGTGGCGCAGGAGGCGCTGCCAGGGGGGCCCGGCGCCGAGCCAAGAAATCCGCGCGGAGCGCCAACAGTTTATGATTATGCCGGTAATAGATGGAGAGCCAGGACGGGCATCGTGCTGTAGGTAGAGCTGAACGGAGTACCCATCGGTCAGAAAAAGTAGGTAGAAACATGAAGCAGGAAGGCGTTGAAAATGGATTCGGTGTCCGCCCGCCCCCTAAAGAGGACGGAAACGGTGAAGCCCCTCGAATCATTGAAGTAGGAAGGCGCTTAAAGTAGAGACTGGAATCTGGATGTCCAAAAAGTGAGCGTTTTCTTATTCGGCGTTTCGACACTGGGCGGAAGGGAGGGGGGAGGGAGGGGAGGTCTGGCACCGGACCTCTGCTTAGTGCCACTGTTTGCAGCGGTGCGTCCTGTGGCGGAGGGACGCCACCTGCTCGAAACCGGCGCCACGAAAAGCAGCCAAGATCAACTCCAAGGAGGAGAGGGGGGGGGAGGGCCCTCCGCCGATCGGCAAGACGAGGAAAACACATACATCTATATGTGAATATGTGTTGCTTTGTTTTGTTTTCTTTTGATAATTCGTAGTTATATACGTATATATAGTGTTTGTTGGTCGTATATCTAAAACCCAATTAGGTATATTCCATATGTTTACATCGTTTTACAAGGTTATCTATAGACACACATCCTTTGTTTTGTAATTTTTTCTTTTTGGGGGAAAAAAAAAAACAAAAAAAACGACCGATGGGTAGAGCGCCCCCCGGGCCACGGCGCGCCTTGGAGGCCCCCCCTCGGGCCCTCGAGGGAGGGGGTCGCCGCTCGGGCCTGCAGGCCGGGGGGGGGGTCGCGCGCCTGCCCGCGGCCGAAGCCCGCCGCGGCCACCGGGGGGCCCCCTCCTCGTCGTCGTCGTTTTCGTCGTCGTTTCCGTCGTCGTTTTCGTCGTTGTTTTCGTCGTCGTCGTCGTTTTCGTCGTCGTCGTCGTCGTTTTCGTCGTCGTCGTCGTCGTCGGCGTCGTTTTCGTCGTCGTCGTCGTCGTCGTTTTCGTCGTCGTCGTCGTCGTCGGCGTCGTCGTCGTCTTCGTCGTCCCCCCCGAAAAGAGCCCCCCAGCACGGCACGGGCGCCCCCCTCTTCCCTCGACTGGCGCTCCCCTGAGACGCTGCGCTGCGCCAACAACCAAAAAAGCCTCCTCGTCCTCCGCCCCCTCCTCCTCGTCCACCTCCTCGTCCTCCCTCCTCCCTCCTCCCTCCTCCTCCCTCCTCCTCCCTCCTCGTCCTCCTCCCTCCTCCCTCCTCCTCCCTCCTCCCTCCTCCTCCCTCCTCCTCCCTCCTTCCCCTCCTGCTCGTCCTCCTCCGCCCCCCTCCTGCCTCCTCCTCCCTCCTCCTCCCTCCTCCCCCTCCTGCTCGTCCTCCTCCGCCCCCCTCCTGCCCTGCTTCTCCCTCCTCCACATCCCCCACTTCTTCGGCCGATGTGTCGTGCAGACACGGGGTTATTGATTGATTGATTGATTGGGAGAAAGTCCGACCTGGGCCAGAAGAACATCCCTCAAGAGCATGGGACCCTCCGCCGAACAAGACACACGCAGGACATCCGAGGATACCCTCCCAAGGATGCACTTGAACATGCAGCAAACACGAAGAACACTAGGGTACCCTCCCCGAACCGACCTCAATATTATACCACGGACCGACGGTACTGCGCTGCAAGAACAAGGCAGCATTGAGACGAAGCCAAGACGAGGATCCCAGCGGGTAAGGATACATCGAGAATCTCTTAGATCCGGCGACTCTGGACGATGTCTCGAGCGCCGCGGCCTTCTCAGATATCCCAAGACGCTCTGAGAGCGTTCTGGAACGCTCTGGAACGGATCTGTCCTCGCCCGTGCCCCGTCCGACTAGACTTACGTCGGGCGTGTCCCCCTACAGGGGGATTTTCGACGGAAAAAAAATACCCCAAAAATACTTCAAGAAGGTCAAACCGTACCCCAAAAATAGTCCCCAGACTATTTTTAGAGTATTTGTTGACTATTTTGGGGGTATTCTTTATTTTTCTTCGAAAATCCCTTGTAGGGGGACCGGCCCGACTTGAGACTTAAGACTAGACCCCAACTTTCCTGCTGCACTTGCCGAGCCAGGCCGATCTACACGTGGTGGCCACCGGGCCCGGGGCCGGGCGCGCGCGCGGGGGGTGACAGCAGTGCAGCGCTCGGATCTCCGGGCCTTCGTGGTTGCACGACGACTGCAGGAGCATGCACGTCGTTCATTCCTAATCGTGCTCATTTCTAAGTGTGCTCGCTCCTAGTTGTTCCTGGCCCCCATGGTGGCCAGGAGGAGGCCCAGGATAGAACAATTAGAAATGAAGGAGCTTGGCCCCCCCAAAAAACAAAGAACATTCGAAGAATTAGAAATGAACAATGTGTATGTCCATTCAGATTCCGACAAGTCAGCTTGCCCGGCATTCCCCCGCCCCCCCCCTCCCCTCTCCGCCGCGTTGTCAAGCAGCGCCGGGCCGAAGCGGCTTGCAAGCGAGTTTTTGGGCTGCGTGGAGTGCAGGCCTCCTTTCGGGCCTCGCCACGCCCCCCTCCTCTCCCCCGCCGTGCCAGCAAACTTGCCAGGAGCTAGAAGAAACGACGGGGCACCAGCTGGCACCAGGTCGGCGGATTTGAAGAAAGCTTAGGAATGGTCAACACAGAATCAAACATAGCCCAGAAAATCGGAACATCGTCCCAAGACTAATAAGTTTTGACTGTTTTTGCACGCTCCTCCTGTAGAGGGGCATGCCCGACTGATAGTTGGCACCAGCTGGTATTAGGTCGGGCATGTCGTCCTAAAGGCGGATGTTGGAAGAAACATGTAACTTGTTCAAACAACTACACCACAAAAACAACAACCATCGAAATATCGTCTCCAGGCTATGATGTTGTAACTATTATGGAACACTCCTCCTGCAGAGGGGCATGCCCAACTGAAAGTCCAGAGGCCTCCTAGATGGTGTCTGAGTAGAGATGAGGTCAATGGATCGCGCCGCATCGTCAGCGCATCGGCGATACATCGGCGATGCATCGGCGATACATCGGCGATGCATCGGCGACGTCGGCGACGCAACCGCGACGTCGGCGCGAGGCACATCGGGCTCCACGTCGAGCCGCATCGTCGATGCACCGGCGATGCGGCGCAATCCTCCGACCCCATCTGGGACCCAATCTAGGAGGCCTAGTCGGGGATGGACAGACCTCCCTTTAGTAAAACGTGGTTAGTGAAAACGACCTGAGGCCCAAACCTGGCGGGCGCAAGCTTGGAAAATGACGGCCACGGCGCCCTCTCGAGAACCGAAAACGGACAATCCACTGATCGACGTGTCACTGTTGGGGGTTCTGTCCACCCCCCGTCGCTCGGACGTCCATTTCCCGTGCACTTTTCGGTTTCGTGCGTGTTCTTTTGTAGCTCGATGGTCCAGGATGGTCCCCGATGGCTCTCGCCGAGAAAAAATGCACACGCCCGAGCGATGCCGAGCAGGAGGCCTGGACAAGTTGCCCCCCGCCCGCCCCCCGCCTGTCCGCGCCCGGACCCGCGCCGCGCCCGAGCAGGGCGGCGGCCCCGAGGGCGCCCGCGGGCGGCACCCAGGAGGCGCCGCCCGAGCCCCGCCCCGACAGGGCCCGCCAGGCGGCGAGGGCCATGACGTAGCAAGCGGCCACGGTGGCCAGCGCGGCCCCTGCTGCGAGGCGGGTGCGGGACGGGAAGATGACCACAGCCACTGCTTCTTGTTTGCGCCGCCTCCCAGCCGGCCGAAGAAGAAGAAGAAGAAGAAGCAGTGGTTGTGGTCATTTCCCTGGTGCCAAGCTCAACGAAAATGACCACAGCCACTGCTTTGTTTCTGCGGGCTGGAAGGCGGCAACAGAAGAAAAGCAGTGGCTGTGGTCGCTTTCACGCCCCGTAGCGGGGCTCCCCTGAGATCCTGCCTGGTGTTGCAAGTCTTTTCGCAGCGGGCGCTTCGGCTCCACTTCGGGCCCCGGGGCCCTCACGGATCGATGCGGCTCGAAAAAAATGCCCCAGAAAGACGGGGTCCGGGCCTCCGGGCGTGACTCTCTGTGATGTTACAGTTGTTTTTCTTGCCACGTCGGATCTCAGGCGCGCAGAGGGGGGCAGGGGGAGGGGGAAACGCTTCTCAGAAGGAAGCTGCTGCTTAGAGAAGGCGCCGGCCCTACATCTACAGACAGGGCCCGCGCCTTCTGAGAAGCAGGGGTGCAAGAAGCCTGCCCCCCTGCCCCTACCCCTCCTCTGCGCGTGGCCGAGCTCTGCCCAAGTCCACCGCCTGGGGAAGCGACGACCTGGGACCCTCCTCGGAATCAAGCGCGATTTTTTTACCTAACAGCTTTTACTGATAGGTTTCTAGTGGTCTCAAAAGAGAGCATCTTGACGCCCCAGGGGGGTCTGGGCGGGACCCGGACAAGGGATCCAGCAGGATCGGGCAGCCACAGGAATCCTTAGGAATCCTTCGGAATTCGTAAGAATCCTTAGGAATCGATTCCCAGAACACCATTCCCAGGCCACATTTTGAATGCCCCGAGCCAACTGTAGGCCACTTCGTGTTCTTCGTCTTCCCAGAACACCATTCCCAGGCCACATTTTGAATGCCCCGAGCCAACTGTAGGCCATGTCGTGTTCTTCGTCTTCCCAGAACACCATTCCCAGGCCACATGTTGAATGCCCCGAGCCAACTGTAGGCCACTTCGTGTTCTTCGCCTTCCCAGAACACCGCTCCCAGGCCACATTTTGACTGCCCGGAGCCAACTGTAGGCCACTTCGTATTCTTCGTCTTCCCAGAACACTATTCCTGAGGCAGGCTGAGGCTGAGGCAGGCTGAGCTGAGGCTGAGGCTGAGGCTGATGCAGGCTGAGGCTGACAGGCTGACGCTGAGGCTGAGGCAGGCGGAGGCTGAGGCTGAGGCAGGCTGAGGCTGAGGCTGAGGCAAGCCGAGGCAGGCTGATGCAGAGGCTGAAGCTGAGACAGGCTGAGGCTGAGGCTGAGGCTGTGGCTGCGGCTGAGGCAAGCTGCAGCTGAGGCAGGCTGAGGCTGAGGCTGATGCAGGCTGAGGCTGAGGCAGGCTGAGGCTGAGGCTGAGGCAGGCTGAGGCTGAGGCTGAGGCTGATGCAGGCTGAGGCTGAGGCTGAGGGCGAGGCAAGCCGAGGCAGGCTGAGGCTGAGGCTGAAGCTGATGCTGAGGCAGGCTGAGGCTGAGACAGGCTGAGGCTGAGGCTAAGGCAGGCTGAGGCTGAGGCAGGCTGAGGCTGAGACCGAGGCAGGCTCAGGAGGCTGAGGCAGGCTGAGGCTGAGGCATGCTGAGACTGAGGCTGAGGCAGGATGAGGCTGAGGCTGAGGCTGAGGCTGATGCAGGATGAGGCTGAGAGGCTGAGGCTGAGGCAAGCTGAGGCTGAGGCTGAGGCTGGATGAGGCTGAGGCTGAGGCTGAGGCAAGCCGAGGCTGAGGCTGAGGCTGAGGCTGAAGCTGAGGCAGGCTGAGGCTGAGGCTGAGGCAGTGGCTGAGGCTGAGGCAAGCTGCGGCTGAGGCAGGCTGAGGCTGAGGCAGGCTAAGGCTGAGGCTGAGGCAGGCTGAGGCTGAGGCTGAGGCAGGCTGAGGCTGAGGCTCAGGCTGATGCAGGCTGAGGCTGAGAGGCTCAGGCTGAGGCTGAGGCAGGCTGAGGCTGAGGTTGAGGCTGGATGAGGCTGAGGCTGAGGCTGAGGCTGAGGCAAGCCGAGGCAGGCTGAGGCTGAGGCTGAAGCTGAGGCAGGCTGAGGCTGAGGCTGAGGCAGGCTGAGGCTGAGGCAAGCTGCGGCTGAGGCAGGCTGAGGCTGAGGCTGATGCAGGCTGAGGCTGAGGCAGGCTGAGGCTGAGGCCGAGGCAGGCTGAGGCTGAGGCTGAGGCCGAGGCAGGCTGAGGCTGAGGCCGAGGCTGAGGCCGAGGCTGAGGCCGAGGCTGAGGCCGAGGCAGGCCGAGGCTGAGGCTGAGGCTGAGGCTGAGGCTGAGGCTGAGGCTGATGCTGAGGCAGGCTGAGGCTGAGACAGGCTGAGGCTGAGGCTGAGGCAGGCTGACGCTGAGGCACGCTGAGGCTGAGAGGCCGAGGCAGGCAAATCCTTCGGAATCCTTAGGATTCCCTAGGAATCCTTAGGAATCCCTAGGAATCCTTAGGAATCAGGATCCCTAAGGATTCCTAAGGTTTCCTAAGGATTCCTATGGATTCCTAAGGATGCCTAAGGATGCCTTAGGAATCCCTAGGAATCCTTAGGATTCCATTGTATCCTAAGGCCGTTGCCACTGCGACTGTCATTGCGAATGCGACAGCGACTGAGAGAACAGCAGAATTCTACAAGTGGATTCTCACCTGAATCTTAAGGGGAATGCTTCCAGATATGCTTATACACTTCGCTGTTAGCTTGCTTTGCCGGGATACTTGTTGAAATAGTGCTGCTCGGAGCGCGAAGCGCGGCCCAAGTGGTCATGTGTTCTGGGTCTGCAGTCACCAGTGTCGACGTGAACATTTAGATTTAGGGGATCCTGGGGCGCCGCCGCGTCGGGGGGAACACTTGCGTTTACTTTCGAGGGGGGATGTGGGACCCCAGCGGGCGGTGGGAGTGGACATGCTTTGCCCCTATGGGGGGCCGAGGGTCTCCGCAGCCGCCGCCTGCTGAGGTTCCCGAACCCAGACCCCCGACGCCATGCTTTTTTCACAACACCGACCCTCTGAGGTCTCGACCCACTCCCCTGGACCGGCTTTCCGTCCTGAGTCGTTGTCTGACAGCCCCCAGGGCGTGAATAAGGGCTTCCAGAAGCCGAGAACATGGGAGAATCCTACCCTCCTGGTTAACTCGGCAGGAAGGGGCTGGCTCGGGGGTTGGGGGAGGAGGAGGAGGAGGAGGAGGAGGAGGAGGAGGAGGAGGAGGAGGAGGAGGAGGAGGAGGAGGAGGAGGAGGAGGGGAGGGGGAGGAGGATGACGAGGACGAGGAGGGAGGAGGAGGAGGAGGAGGAGGAGGAGGGAGAGGAGGAGGATATGTTTCTTCCCATAGAGGGGCTGGGCAGGTCGATCACCTGGCCGGTGGCCACGGGCAACTCCCCGCCTCGGACCTGCGGTGCCCAGCCGCGCGTGGACCACCAGGGCCGGGGTCAGCGCCGCGTTCACGGCCGCCCCGAGCAGGACGAGGCGCAGGACCGCCCCGGTGCTCCGGAACGCGCCCGACAGGGCCGCCTGCAGAACGAGGAGCACCAGGAGCCCGGGCGTGCCCCACAGCCTGTGAGCATCGCTCAGCTGATTTCCATTACTCTGCTGCTGCTGCTACTATCCTCCTCCTCCTCCTCCTCCTCCTCCTCCTCCTCACTCCTCCTCCTCCTCCTCCTGCTCCTCCTCCTCCTCTCCTCCTCCCCTCCTCCTCCCCCCTCCTCCCCTCCGCCCCTCTCCTCCCTCCTCCTCCTCCTCCTCCCTCCCTCCTCCTCTTCCTCCTCCTCCTCTCCTCCTCCTCCTCCTCCTTTCTTCCTCCTCCCTCCTCCTCCTCCTCCTCCTCTCCTCCTCCTCCTCCTCCTCCTTTTCCTCATCTTCCTCCTCTCCTCCTCCTCCTCCTCCTCCTCCTTCTCCTCCTCTCCTCCTCCTCCTCCTCCTCCTCCTCCTCCTCCTCCTCCTCCTCCCCCTCCTCCTCCCCCTCCCCCTTCTCCTCTTTCTGGGAAAAGCTTGCGCTAGGCCAAAATCTGGTTCATGGCGACAGGGGGTCTGGAAACAGGGTTTTGGACTCGTCTGGTCCTGGGGCTCCTTGCCCTGGCTCGTCTGGCCAGGCCTTCCTGTTGGGAGGGAGGAACCCTTTGGATAGCTTGGTTATCACCCTTTTGAAGCGTCAGTTGGGCGCCGACAAGCTTCCCCCAACCGATTGAAAAACTGATGTCCCGAGCCGCCACGCACTTGACACCACCAAATCCCGCGCAGGCACCGAAGTCTGTGGGACGCGTGGATGTGATGCGGTAAACCCAAACAGGGAGAGGTCAACCATTGATTGATTGGCAGGACTCGACTCGGTGCCGTCAGGCAATTCGTACATCAAGAACTTCCATTCCCGCAAATTGAAGCCGCGAGGAAGGTAGCTTAACGGGCATCCATTCTAGCAGCGGCCCTTTCATCTTGACGGGCTCGCTTGGCGGCTATTAGGTCTGCAGGGGTTATTGCCTCTGGAGCGTGTGCGTCTTTATCCCTAGCCTTGGCATCCTTTGGGCCGACCGCTAAAAGGTGGTCCAAAACACGGGACGTCAAATCATCAACCCGAGAGACCTCGGGCAAGACGTCCTGGGGAAAGCTAAGGACGCTCCACGCTTTGCTGCTTCATCTGCCGCTTCTTTGATTCGAAACTGCCCTTCCCCAACCTGGTGACCAATATCGGCTTCCGCATGAAGCGTGGCCCCAACTCGCAGTTTCGTTTGAAACGTGGCCTGCCCAAGCCGCTTCTCAACCTCAACGGACACGCCGCCCAAACGTAGGCACAGTCTACGATGCAAGTGGCAGACCCCGAGGTCTGCTTGAAGGCCTGGATTCGGCCCTCGAGCTCGGCCAGAGGCACCTCCTGGCGCCGCCCCAAAATCGGCCCCCAAGCAATCTACAGTTGTACCACACTGGAAAGCCTCATCCACACCTACGCAGCCTCACATCACTTGAAGCATCGCCCCCGCTGCCATCAGCTACTACATAGGCCCCAGAGGGGAGCTCCACACGCATTCTCTCATCAATGGCTCCTTCTGCCCGGAACTCCCACTCCGGCCGCCTGTCGACGTGGGGGGTAGATCCACATGACGGGAACCAGTCCACGGTGCCAGCAACATGGCCCGTCCGCGCGCTCTCCATGGGGCTGCGGAAGGAAATCGAAGGCCGCCGCCCTGGATAACCCCAGGCACGCGCACGTCCACTGCAGGTGGAGCAGGTCTTCTGCTGGTCGGGGGGGTGAGCTCGAGCAGTCTGGCACCTGGGACATACTTGCTTGGCGGGGTCACGCTCGTGCCTCCTTATCCCTGGCCACGGCGCTCCTGTGGCGGCGTATTCTAACACGGCCACGTGGCCGTGGTTGTGCTTGCGTCTGACTTTCCTGAGCCCCCGCTGGAGCACTGTCGGATCTGCGCCAACCTCGAAGCCTTTTCCCGCAGTAGTGTTGGGGCGCGCTGTCTTTCCAGATATGCTGATCCACGGGCCCATCGAACTCCGCTGGTGCGCACTTCTGCCGCCCAGGATCAGACCCCGAGACGGCTTCCAGATAAATTTGGGCTCGTTCTGGTGGGGCCCCTCGTGGGAAAAAGGTAGACGTCTTCGCCGTGGGGCCCCCCCCGCTGCCGCGGCAGCCGCGGGCCCCTTTGGTTCGGCGGGAAGGTAACCACGAGGGAGCTGATGGGCCCTTTGGCCCTTCCCCAAGGGTTCTCTCGGAAGCGGCCAAGAGGGGGGAGTCCAAGAGGGGGGGTGCAAATCATGACCAGCGGCACGTGCGCGGCCCAGCCGGGGGGCCAGGGACGTAATGAAATAAGAAGGGGCGCCATGAAATCTGGGGAAATATCATGGCCCCCGCCATGAGATCCACCCCCCCCTAGTCATCATCCCCCTCTCTTTTCCGCCCCCGATTCTCGGCCTCGCGCATGACACTGGCTCGCGCCCCCGAGGCGGCAGCGAGCGCAACCCTCTCATTCATGAGCCTGGGCAAGGTGTTCAGCCAAGCTTTGATCACGTCTAGGCGAGCGAAGTAAAACGGGTCGACGTTGTAGCCAAGGCCCAGACAAAGAGCTACGCTTGCGCATCCTCCTGCTCGTCGTTCCCCGGGATGGCGGCCACCTGGCCCCCCAACTGTTCGAAAAGCGGTGGCGGCCCCCCTTGGGCCATCATGCCCCAGGAAGCCTGCGGTTCCACTCCAGTAAGGCTGGGCGTGCTGGCTCGCTCATTTGCCCGCGCGACACGTCGTGCTCTCTCGGCCCTGGCGAAAGCTTTCTTGAGACGACCCTGAACAACCGCGGTTGAGTGTCTGCGCGACGGAAATCCAGGCCTAGCTCTCCGACCTTGCTGCCAACTTGCACATGGATGTCGGACTAGGCGGGCGCTCGGTGGATGTGCTTGACATGGTTTCTCTGGCTCCCGAGAAGCTGTGATTTCTCGGAGGGTCGGTGTCTCACGATCTCCTGGGGGGACCCTGGTCGAGAGCGGGATGTCGCCCACCCGAGCGCTGAGTTTCATGGGCCGAGCCCGTGCATGTGCTGTGGCAAGCATGTCGTGCAGGCATGCGCGTGTCCACGCGACGCTCTGCACACGCCATTGGAGGATCGATCGCTGCATGCTGATGTAGTTCGACACCTCTAGGCCCACAATGAGGATTCGATCTGCGGTGTGCACATGGTGTGTACAGGATAGTCAAGCCCTTTGCCTACTGTGTTGGTCCAGAAAGGGCTGAGCGTGTCGAACCACATCTCTGCATCTAGGAGGAGGATCGCCCAGACGATAGAGAGCCACGTGACTGCCTACGCCTTGGCTATCATAAGGAAGGCGGCCTTCAGAGGATCCGTCCCTTGCAGGGCTGCATCCCAGAACCTTGCTTTGCTGTTCTGCCACTGGAGGACTGGCTCCTTCCGAAGTCGGGACCACGTACGGTGCAGCCCCTGGGTCCTGGTGATAGGTCGGTCACCTTGCCCTCCGGGTGTGGGATACATGCCGACCTCGTTGATAAGAGTTTGCTCTGGCCAAGCACACCAGCTCTCTATGTCATGCAAGAAAGCCTCGAGCTCGCAGCGCGCTTCATCTGGCAGGCTCCACTAGAACAACGGGTTCCGCTGTCCGGCTCCAATGCCCATTGTGGTCAGGAAGGACTTGCACGCCGCAGCGACATCTGACTTGAAACACTGTGGAAGGTCAAGGGCAGCAGCTTGGGCTTCTGCACGAAAATGTGACCACCAGTCTTGCGTTGTCGGGTGTTCTAGTCCTTCAGGGTCTGACCAGAGGGAGTTTCAGCGGGTCCTTTTAACTGCCAGAGCCTCCGAGGGGTCCCAGTGGACCTCCTGAGTCTTTAGTTGTTTTTGTTTGCGCTGGTATGGATTCTGGATATCCCCATTCTTTGGTGTTCCAGTGGGCCCATTTCGCTCCCCCTCGGAGGCTCTGGTTTAGCCACTTCTGGCAACCAGCTTGTTTGTCTCTGTAAGCTTCTCGATCGGTTTGATCGCGGAGCTCCTTGCAGGCCTCCAGGAGGGTCTTTAGGGTGTCCTGGTCGCAGTTGACCATCTCCTGGGCCTTGATCTGTATGTCCTGAACAGTATTGGGAATGTTCTCTGGGTTCTCCTGAGGGGCCTTGAAGTGGTTACACTTGGAGATGTTGCTGAGCGTATCCCTAAGGTGTCTTTCGACTTCCTGGCGCTTTGCGTCCTTCGCAGGACCGCTCTTCCCGATCCTGAGCCCGAGGAGGTCCTGGATCCTGGCGTAGCAGTTCTTCCAGAAAGCCAGCTTATAGGTACCCCCAGTTTGCCCCCCCGAGTCGTGGTGTTGCCACTGCCTTCTTAGTAACTCGTGTCGGCGCCGACCCTCGTCGGTGCGTGCCCCGCAGGCCTCCACTTCGCGAGGCATGCAGGTCTTCAACAGCATTGGCGAAAATACGGCACTTGGCGGTTAGCGTGGGATCTGTACAGGGCTGGGCAACGAAGTGCTCTGCTTCTCGAAGGTCTTCGGAGGCTCGGGCCCTTTCCATGTGCGTTCCTCCTCCTCCTCCTCCTCCTTCTCCTCCTCCTCCTCCTGATCCCCCCTCCCCCTCCCTCCTCCCCTCCCCTCCCTCTTTCCGCCCCCTCCCTGTGGCATGGCCTTGGCCACTCTGGCCGATTTACTCTCCCCGCCCCCCCAGTTATGCATACAGGCTGTTCCCTGTGGGTTTCGGGGGGCCCACCCCCAACTGTGGGGTGTGATGGTTGGGCTGAGGTAACATGGCCAGGTGAGAGCCCAAATATCTGGCGCCACGATTTGTTCCAGGCATGGACCCCCGACCTCTCGGCCATTTCCCCGGGACCACTGTTTCACCCCGAACCGTTTTCGACGGCCCCGTCCGAGGCCTGGTGAGGGCCCCGAGAGGCTGACAAAACCAGGAGAAACCTCCGTCTTGATGTTCTCGAGACGCCGGATGTCTGGGAGTGGAGACGTGTTAATCGATCCCGAGCCTGGGGACCAGGTAAGCCCTCGCGGGCTCGAAGAGCTCCGAGCCGGGGCCCACCCCCGCCAGCCGCAGCAGCCAGCCGCAGCAGAGCGAGCCCACCACCGCGACAATGAGGCCCACCCTCAGGCTGAGGCAGAGGGCCACGAAAATGCTTCGCCTCACGGCGTCCTCGCTGCCCGAGGCCATCGCCTCGGAGGTCATGGACCTCACCGGTATCTGAATCGTCTTGATCATCTCGAACACCCAGTCGTCCACGTTGAGGGCGGGCCCCAAGGAGGCCAGCGCAAGGGTCCCCAATCGCGACGACACCCAGTACGTGTCGATGATCGACAACAGGGGGTCCTCGGGGGAAGGGCTTCAGGAGAGGCCTGACCAGAGCGGAGGCGGGGTGCATAAAGGTAGCTCTATAAGTGAACCCAGCACGGCCGTGAACTGCCCCCCCACGTCCTCAAGACAAGATCAGTATGTAAGCACCGACTCGGAAAAATGGATCGCAACGGAATGTGCGTCTGATCGGGCTGCATCAGCACGGAGTCGGAATCGAATCAGACCGGCTGCGCCAAGATGCACTACAATCGGGCGTTGGCAGAACTGGGTTTAGTGGAACCTGGTTTAGTGATGTGTACTGGGGGACGCCCCTCTGCCCCATTCCACTAACCGGAACTGCCGTCACCCGAAAACAGACGAATTACGGCAGACCTGGTTTAGTGATTCTGGCCAATTCAAGGGCTCCGAGGCTGTACCAGAAACCGGGTCCCCTTACCTGTGGTCCTGGCTATACCCGATACAACGTCATTCGAGCACCGGGCCGCATGGGATCGTCGGAGTCATAATCGGTATCAAAATCGCACCGAATCGAGCTGACCAGAATCGGTATCGAATCGGACGGGTCGGTTTCCAGCGGGAATTGCAAGGGCATGCCACAGCGAGGGATCGTCGCTCGTGCCGACCCCGCGGCCGCGCGCGACGCCTGTGACTGGTGGGTGGTGGTGGGGCTAATCACCCAGGCGGCGAGGCGGGAGCGTGCTTTTCTTTCGACGCTGGGAAATTGACTTGCATGGCGTTTCGCTTGCAAGCGGCGCTGGACCGAAACGGCGCGCATGTGATGCCAGACTTGCGTGAAGTACAGATCGGGCCTCGCCACGCTCTCCTCCTCCTCCTCCTCCTCCTCCTCTTCCTCCTCCTCCTCCCCCTCCATGCGAGTAATTCAACTTGCCAGTGCCTGCACAAAAACGGGCCTTCGGGCGCCAGAGGGCGGCACTCTCCGCAGCAGAGGCGCAGCCCGACGCGGCCCGAAACCGCCCCGCCCTCGGTGTCCCCGGGCGGTATACCTCTCGCCATCGCTCGGACGTCCATTCCCTGTGCTTTTGTCGGTTTCGTGCGTGGTTTTCTCGCCAAATCATCAAGGATGCTCCTCGATGGCCCTCGCCGAAGGAAAAATGCACACGTCCGAGCGATGCCAAGGTATACCTGGAGGTCTGCGGAGAGGCTGGAAGCCCCCGAAGGAGCCCAGGAAGGACCTTGTGGTTGTGGATGGCACGACCATGGACACCCTAACACACCCATCCTTGAAGTTAAACTTCGCGTTTCAAATGTAAGACAAGTGTTCTAAACATGATGTAAGCATGTTCTTTACACATGTTTGGCACATGGTTCAGACATCTGGAAATCAGTTGGCGACATGCTCTTCCTCTCCCTTGATCCTCCTCCACGGCGCAGTGCGCTGGGGCAGACTGCCCCAGCGCACTGCGCCTCGAGCCTCGAAGCCTCGGCCCCGCCCGCCTCGCACCAACCAGCAGCGGGGCCCCGCCAGTCTCCAGAGGCCCCGCGAGGGCCCTGGCCGAAGGCCTCGGCCAGTGTCGAGAGCAGCCCAAAACCCTGATCCTCGATCCTCGATCGATGGAAGAGCAACTGGACGAGGAAGCGAGTGGATCCCCAATCCTCGATCCTCATCCGCGGCCCTCGACCCGCGATCGATCAAGAGACAAACCCTGATCCTCGATCCTCGGCCCCCGCAGCCGCGCGACGCCGGCAGCGCACAGGGCGAGACTTCCGTCGAGGGGTCGCGGGGGTTCAAGGTGGGACACCAGCGTAGGCTCTCCTGGGGTGGTGGTAGTCGTCGTCAGGGTCGTCAGGGTCGTCGGGGTCGTGGTCGTCGTCGGGGCCGTGTTTGTCGTCGGGGTCGTGGTCGTCTTTTGGGTCGTCGTCGTCGTCGTCGTCGTTGTTGTCGTCGTCGTCGGGGTCGTCGTCGGGTCTTGGTCGTCGTCGGGGTCGTGGTCGTGGTCGCCGCCGTCCTTGTCGTCATCGTCGTGGTCGTGGGCGCCTGTCTTGATCGCCCCCCCCGAGACAGCACGGGCTCCATGGAGGAGCTGGCCACCGCGGGCACGGCCAGCGAGAGGATCTCCCGGTCCTTCGCGCGGGCGTAGCTGCGGTGAGGCCCGTGCGCCCAGTCAACCTCCTGGGGCGGCGGAGGAGAAGGAGGTGAGAGGTGAGAGGTGAGATGGGAGAGGAGTGAGGAGGCGGAGGTGGAGGGGGAGAATGAGGCACAGCGTTGGATGCAGGAGGGAGAAGAGGACGAGGAGGACGAGGAGGACGAGGAGGACGAGGAGGAGCAGGAGGAGGAATAGGAGCGGGAGGAGGAGCAGGAAAAGGAACTCGGTTCCCTGCCCCCTTGCGCTCTCCTAGCTTCTCTCGACCTCCCCCTCCCCTCTCCTCTCTTCCCTCTCCTCCGCTTCCTCTCCTCCCCCCCCTCTTCCTCCTCCTCCTCCTCCTCCTCCTCCTCCTCCTCCTCCTCCTCTCTTCCTCCTCCTCCTCCTCCTCCTCCTCCTCCTCCTCCTCCTCCTCCTCATTCTCCCTCATCATTCCCTCTCCACTAAAATTCTCGATCCCGGCGCCGCAGTTGCATCGCCGATGCACCAGCGAGGCTGCGAGGCCCCCCGGCTCCCATCTGCAGGAGGCCCGCCGGGCCGGAAACAGGGCACGCGAGCACCGACTGCAGCAGACCAGCTCCCCGCCTGCCCCGCCTTCCCGCACTGGCTCTGCCCACCACTCTCGAAGAGCGCCGCCCTCGAGGCCTCCGCCCACAGCGTCCACAGACTGCATCCGTGCTCGCCGCCTCCCGCGGTCCAGGCGCACCGGCCCCGCAGGCGCCGGCTGTGTCTCTCACTCCCCCCACCCTCGGGCTCGTCGCCCTCGCCGTGGTTGTCGACGTGGTCGTCGCCGTGGCGACGGCGAGGCCGCCCGGTGGCATCCCGTGTGCGGCCGGAGCAGACGAGCTCGGAGGATTGCGCCACGTCGCCGGTGCATCTCCGACGCATCGGCGAGGTCAGGACAGAAAATCTGACTCATCGCCGATGCATCGCCGATGCAGCGGTGATGCGGCGCGATGCTCCGACCCCACCCCCTGGCATCGCTCGGACGTCCATTCCCTGTTGTTTTCGGTTTCGTGCGTGGTTTTTTCGCCAAATGATCAAGGATGCTCCTCGATGGCCCTCGCCGAAGGAAAAATGCACACGTCCGAGCGATGCCAAGTCCTCCCCACCTCTAGTTTTAGGTCGGGCATGTCACCCCGATCGGAGATTTTGGAGGAAGGATGCAGAAGAGTCAAACATATCCAGAAGGAGTCAACCACAGTACAGTCAAAACATCGTTCCCAGACTATTTTTTGACTGTTATTGACTTTTCCTCCTGTAGAGGGACATGCCCGACTTATCTCTAGTTAGCCCCGCCCCCACATCCCAAATTGACTCCTTGTCCCTCGCCCCGTCCCTCCCTCCGCCCTCAATCCTGCTTCCGAGGAGAACAGCGACGCCGACGATAGAAGAAGAAATGCCAGCATACAGAAGAAACCTTCGGATGCCAGCGCCGACTTCTTGGGACGGCGCCGATCCCCCTCCCTGGCGCGCGGAACGCGCCAGGGGCGGCGCCAGAGCCGCCGCCAATTGGGCCCACCGCCGACCCAACAGATCGGCGCGGACATCCGACACATCCATGCTTTTTCGGACTTCTCCTTCGAGGCGGGGATGACGACGACGGCTGGCGACGACGGCCACACGTCGGCTGCGCGAAAACGTGACCCTGGGCGAGCGTGGCTTCTCGCGTGCGGCTTTAAAGGGCGCCGCGGTGGGACCCTCGCACTTCTCGCTCACGCCGAGCGCCTTCGCAACTGGGAGATTTCAGCTCGGATCTGCAATGGATCCCGATGCTCTCCCCGATGGGTTTCACAATGGCACGGCTTCGGACGCTCGTGTGGGCGCCAGGCTCGACCTGGACCTTGACCTGGTGGGACACACGGTGGGGCCCAATCCGAGCGCGGAAGCCAGTGGGGCGACTGGGACGAGGGGTCACCACCCTATTTGGGGGCCTCCGGTGGGAGGGAGCACTCTGGGCCCGCACCACCGGCGAGCGAGCGAAGGCCTCCGCAAAAGCCCCCCGCGGCCCCGCGTGCACGAGCGACCGCGTTCAAGCGCAGGCCGGCGGACGCTGCCCACGTACGTGCACACACGAGTGACGAAAAGACACGGGCCCTACGCGAGAAGGCATACGGCAGGGGCCCCACCACAATCAGGAGGGAACAACAAACACACAGACACAATGAATCGTCGATCCCCCAGAAAATACGGGAAAATATGGGAAGTGGGGGGGAAGACAAAAACCCAGAAAATATGTGAAAATATGGGGAATCCTATTTATTTGTGTGTATTTGTTTGTGTGTCCCAGGGCCCCTTCACACAAGAAACCTTCTACAAGAGACCCGACCCCGAGACCCCAGGGCGCCCATCGACTTCAGGTGCGCGAGCGCCGCGCCTTCCACCGGAAAACTGTCGAACCCCACGACACCCAGGGCAGCCTGGAGGCAACACAGGGTGTCTTTTTTGTTGTGCATGGGCCTCCAGTGTGCGAGCGGCGCAAAAACACGGGCCCTGCGCGAGAAGACGTAGCCACAGCGACCACACGCCGCGGCTCACGCGCGCCGCCCGCGTGGCACGTCGCGCGGAGAAGAGAAGCCGCCTTCCGCGCGACCTGGCTCGGGACGCTCGCGCGCGCGACCGTCGCGCGCGACCGTCGGCACGGTCGGCCCCGATTGTTCCTGCCCCCCTCGCACCACTAGAGGCCTCCCAAATAGCTCGCCATCGCTCGGACGTCCACTCCCTGTGTTTTTTTGTCGGTTTCGTGCGTGGTTTTTTTTTTTCGCCAAATGATCAAGGATGTTCCTCGATGGCCCTCGCCGAGGGAAAAATGCACACGTCCGAGCGACGCCGGGGTAGGGTCCGAGCGGATGGGGTCGGACGACCGCGCCGCGTCGGCGATGCATCGGCTTCGCACCGGCGGGGCGGTGCTGCATCGGCGACGCCGGCGTGGCGAAAATTAGGCTCCGCACCGATCCGCATCGCCGAGGCATCGGCGATGCGGGGCGATCCACCGGCCCCGTCTGCTCGAGACCCGTCTGCCGCTTGGGAGGCCGTCGCATCAGATGGCGGGTTCCGGAAGCCCCGATCAAACAGAAAGCCATGCCATCTCTTGGGAGGCCGATCTGTACCTCCGCTGGCTTCCGCCGGCGGAACCGCCCCCGTTTTACTTCCGCTGGTTTCCACCGACCTTCCACCGCACTCCGCCAAGTAAGCGATGCAAGCTCCTTCGATCCAGCGGTGGCGAAGAAGGCTTCCCAAGAGGCCCAAACATACGACAACGGGCGAAGGGTACCGGTACGGGTACCTTTGCTTCCTCTGGCCCTGAGATCCGACGTTGCAACAAAGCTGCAACATCGCAGACAAAAAAAACGACCAGAGCCCAGACCGCCTGGGTCATCTTTCGAGGCGGATCGATCTGCGAGGGCCCCCCAGGCCCGACAAAACGGCGAAAACGCCCGTTGTAGGAGGCCTGGAAATTGGCACCAACACCAACACGGGGGGGGCCTCCACAAGGGGAAGATGATCCTAGATTTCGGTATTGGTGGTAATATTCCGGCCACCGTGGAAGCCATAATTATTACCACCACCACCGAGATCGGGATCTTCTTCCCTCGGTGGAGGCACACCGCCGATATTGGTGTTGGTGCCAACCCCTAGGCCTGCGACGTTGCGAAACAATTGCGACGCCAGGCTCTCAAGGGAGCTCTCTCTTGAGCAGGGACCGACCGTCCCGGCATTCCTATAGTCCTACCGCGAAATGCTCTTAGAACCCAAAAATGTCCTAAGGGCAAAAACAATGCAATGTTCTTAGAACATAAACCCGATGTGCTAAAAGAAGACAAACTCCGCCAGAAGTGTTCTAAGAATACTTCGTGGGAACCACAGAAAGGTGCTTAGAGCATTGTTTGGTAGCGCTATAGGCGAGCCAGGACACTTCGTCATTGCTTGACCTGTCGATCGAGGACTGGCTCGGATCGCATAGTCGATCGCTCTTTTCCCCGGGCGCCCTGGCTCAAGGGCCCTAAACGGCGGCAGAGACGCAGGGATACATGGAAGACAGGGAGAGACGAGGCGAGAAGGATGAAGCCGGTGGACATGATCAGGAGAGACGAGGGGACAAGGATTAAGTCGGGCGTGTTCCCCTACAGGGGGATTTTCGACGACAAATAAAAGATACCCCCAAATTCCCCCCAAAGGTCAAAAAATACTCTAAAAATCATCCCCAGACTATTTTTGGGACTATTCTTTAAATATTTTTCTGTTTCTTTTATTTTTCGTCGAAAATCCCCCTGTAGGGGGGCAGGCCCGACTTAAGACAAGGAGAGACGAGGCAACGAGGAGAGACGAGGCGACGGTTGACATGATCAGGGGAGCTCTCGTCGTCGCCGAGCGCCGAGCTCCTCGTCGCCGAGCGCCGCCGGAGGCGCGCCGCCCGCGGGCGCGGCGCCGCGCGCGAGGTGCCTGGGGGCGCGGCGGAGCCAGCGCCTGCCGGGTGGGCGGGGCGGGCGGTCCTCCTCCTCCTCCTCTTCCTCCTCCTCCTCCTCCTCCTCCTCCCTCCTCCCTCCTCCTCCTCCTCCTCCTCCTCCTCCTCCTCCTCCTCCTCCTCCTCCTCCTGCTCCTCCTCCTCCTCCTCCTCCTCTCTCCTCCTCCTCCTCCTCCTCATCCCCTCATCCCTCCTCCTCCTCCTCCGTTTCCTCCGTTTCCTCCGTTTTCCTCCGCTCCTCCGTTTCCTCCGTTTCCTCCTCCCTCCCTCCTCCTCCTCCCTCCTCCTCCTCCTCCTCCTCCGTCGTCCTTCCTCATCCCATCCTCCTCCTCCGCCTCCTCCTCCGCCTCCTCTCTTCTCCTCCTCCTCCTCCTGCTCCTCCTCCTCCTCCGCCTCCTCGGATGTGGGTCCCCCTCCTCCTCCTTCCTCCTCCCTCCTCCTCCTCCTCTTGCCGCTGTCGCTGCAGGCTCCGAAGGAGGAGGAGGAGGAGGAGGAGGAGAAGGCGGAGAAGGAGGAGGAAAAGAAGCAGGATGATGATGATGATGATGATGATGATGATGATGA